CTACTTAAAATAACTTCTCTGAAAAAGAAACAACAAATTAAAACAGAGGGAAGTATCAAAGATCTAACTTAAGAAACCTTTTCTTAGTTCCAAAATGACTGGAGCACTGCACAGTGCATGTGTACTTACTAACATCACTGGATTGCACACTGAAAGATGGTTAGGATAGCAAACTTGATGCTAGCTGAATGTAACCCCAATAAAAACATCTAAGCATGAAGACTGAAAGTTCTCATCATATAATAAGGAAGACATCAATCAAAATTAACAAGAAGGACCCACAAAATAGAAAATCCTGGGGAAAAGAATTTAAAGATTTAAAAATTCATATAATTACATAGGCAGGAAAAAAAAACAAATTAATGACAAGAAAACAGGAATTAGCATGATTCCTCTAGAGGAGATTCCAAGAGAGTCTGTTCCTCTGTAACAGTAAATGGCAGGAGATACAGAAGCAATCTTAGTTTGATGTAATAAATAAAGTGAATATTCCAAGAATTTTATGCCTACACTTGAGTCTCTGTGTGTGAGGGTTGCAGAGAGATATTCCCAAAGATGCCAAGGCAAAGAAAATAAACCACTCTGATATCCTTCTTGAAAAAAACTAAAAAGCTTGCAAGAAGATATAGGTTTCTCTTCTATATAGAGGTTAAAAAATAAGAACTCAAAAATGGGGAAGTTTTGATCAAAAATGATATGCACCTGCCCTGTAGGACCATCAGTAACACAAGAGCCTATGGTCACAGAAGTCCTGGAGTGTCCTCACCTCAGCAAAGAGAGCCCGATTTAGAGGGTGTGGTAATCAGTACACAAACAGGGAGGAGTGGGTCCCAGCATGATGCAGCCTCACAAGGGTGAAACCAAATGCTGAACTGGGGATTTTAAATCTCTTACCGTGGGACTGGGCTCAAAATATTCATCTGAGCAGAAAATTTCAGGAAGCATTTATAACCATATTCTAAAGTCCAACTAAATATAAATGTATCTTTGTTTAAAACCAAATACTCACACCTGCCTAGAACTTTGACTGCAAAAAATACCAAAGGGATAATATGACTTTTTGGATAGCAGAACTAGGTATAGCTTTTTTTCTTCCTTCAACTTTGTACATGATCCAAATATTCCTTGATGAACTTGGGTTACTTTTCTAAAGAAAAATAAACTCCTTTAATATGAAATCATCAAAGTGGATCTTGCTGTCCCTAACAGTGGTGACAGGAAGGTGGCCCAGATCTTTCTAAATTCAGGGGCAGTGCTTCTAACCCCTACAGGACGCAGCTCATCACACATGAAAACAGTGGTCGGGGTCAGCTCCAAATACCCACCGGCCGTGAATTCTGTGACTGACACAGGAGACAACAGGACTAACTGCACTCTCCCCACCAGCCCACCCTCCACCACTCACGACACTCCAGCAGTCAGGACTGGTGACCCCAGGAAGCTACTGCCACAGACGCGGGAGAAGAGGCAGCTCCCCCTGCGGCTGGGCAGGCAGCAGAGTGTCCACATCAGAGAACGT